GATCAAATGAAACAGAGAAACCATACTCTTTGCATGGCCTGTCACTTAATCCAGAATTTTGTACTCCTGGTTAGTAGGGAGTGTCGTTATCCTCAAATTCTTCATAACACGTTTTGCTTGAGTGGTTCAAATTATAATAGATTTTGTTTGCAATGAGAAAATACTCTTGATTAAAGAAGTGGTTCAATTAAACACATACAATTGCCTACATGAAAATGTCTATTACCTTTGCCCAGTCAATAGAAAAGGGATCCTTCACATTTTGGTTTTCAATAAAAAAATCTACCACAGGACCAGGCTGAATTATCATAGTTGTAGATACGTCTGCAAACAGAAAAAAGTATAACATCATAAATAAAAGATTTCAATGAGGAAGGCGATTGAGTTAAAATGAGTATCTAAAGGAAAAATATGCATACAAAATATTTACCTATGTTCAAAGACAAGCCTCCCTGAGAGGTTCAGAAGCTCGAGTGGAATCCTTGACAACCAAGAACTCCTCCTCCAACGTCAGTGAAATTCCTCGGATTATTGTCGAAGAATGATTGACGAACAAGTAGGCAACCCTTGACATTGAACATTATGGTGAAGTACATATCAAGCCATATCGACTTCGAGTGACAAATGTGTGTAGAGTGTCGCACAATTATTTATTTGCCAAACATGTAATTAGTTCTTATATTATTTAACTCTCTTTCAGAAAGTAAGTTACTTATTTTACGATTAGAACTTAAGTCTTGACTCTTATGTAAAGTAACATTTTAGCAGGCATAATCTAATTCATGTTATAAGGACGTAAANGATTAGAACTTAAGTCTTGACTCTTATGTAAAGTAACATTTTAGCAGGCATAATCTAATTCATGTTATAAGGACGTAAAGCTAGAAGCACAACTTACTTTTTTGCAGCATGCTGCCTTAAAATGATATCCAAAACTCTCAATGCTTCTTGGGAGTTCTCAGATTCGTGACCGAACAATAAAAGAGAGAGACAAGGGTTTAGAAATGGTGGAAGAAATTAGCAGATATGCACCCCATAATTGAACAAAATACAGTGCTCCAATGTCAAAATTAGGGAATAATTATAAAAACATACCTCAATCGAAAATGTTTGATGCTGCTTTAATTTATGGCCAGAGAAGAATCCATTTTATTTCTACAGGAGCTCAGTGGTTGAACTTTCCCCATATTTCTTCTCTACAATTGTACAATGCACAGGTAAAATAAAAAACCACGAGACCCTAAAAAATAATGTACAATATACATAAGGAGAGAGAGAAAGAGAGAGAGAGAGAGAGAGAGAGAGAGAGAGAGAAATCCAATAATGTTTAAATATATTTAAAACCACAGCAAACTCAAATCATTCATTGATCTACTTATTTAATCTTATTTTCTTTTAATCAAATCAAATCTGAAAAAGGTGCAAACTTTGTACACAGAGAGAATTTAGCAGACCCGTAAAGCCTCCTTTCAGAACTGATAAAACCCATTAAATCAGAAATCAGTGTTTTTTAATCTTCTGGTGACGACCTAAAAAATTGATGAAATCAACCAAAAAATTAATTTTTTTTTTCCATAGAGAGTTAATAATATTAGAAAATGTTACCCACGATTGACCCAAAATATAAAATTTATTTTAGGAAAAAATTTAAATTTCAAGTATCTACAATTAATAAAAATAATCTCCACGATTTAATCTTTTCATTTACTTCAGTTTATCAGGAATCAAACAGAGCTTGATCCAGAAAATGAATCAATCAATCTAAACAAACAAGCAAACAGAAAGAAAAATAACATTTGCAGCTAAAAGTATATCCAATAATTTACACTATGTCAAAAGCAAAAAAATAACTCAGAAATTCTAACAATACCCCACTAAACTGGAGAAAATGTAAACTTAAAACAAAAAACTGTAAATTTGACATACCTACGCTGCCCGGTCTCCTATTTCGGTTGCATTTTTCTGGATCCACATAAACTAAAAACTTAGAATAAAGAATTCAGCTCTCCAAGTATCAAAAACCTAAAATGACTTTAACCAAAAGGTATCTAAGAACAAAAATCAAAATAATTTGCCTTCAATCATTATTAAGCTCAAAAAGTTAAAATGCGTAATGAAACGTATGATTGTACACATTCTAACAATCAAATAAACCTAAGAAGGGGAGGATGGAGTAGTCTTCATTACCGCTATATCTTTGTAAGAGAAGGGGAGGCTGGAGTAGTCGCAGCATTAATGGAGTCACCTCCTTCTTTATCCACCTTAACCTCGATATCTGTATCATCCCAGTCTAATCCTCAAATGAAAGAAATGGGGAAAATCTATTTTCTTAAACAGAAGAAATTGCTCGAAGGAAAACGGCGCAGAAAGGGGGAACCGTGTCTCCGTGACACACGAAAACGCCCCATGTCTCCGTCGCACACGGAGACACGGTGTGTGTCTCCGTGGGCAACGGAGACATAGCGTGTTTTCGCCAGACAAAGAGACAGTGTCTCCTCCTTTCCGCACGAAGACAAGCACCGTATCTCTGTGTGCGCCGGAGACACGGCTCGTGCCTCCGCGAGACATGGAGACACGCTGGTGTCTCCGTGTTTGACGAAGATGGTGCCTCTGTCACACAAACTCGTCTCCGGCGATGGAGGCACGTGTAGTCTAGCGGTAGATAAGAATGAAGACACTTATAGGTATGAGGTTCATTCGCAATGCTTTCCAACGAAGATGAGGCGCTGCTGGTTCGACGAGATTCCTTCTTTATCATGGTTCTTTGGCTTTGACACTTCCGATGGTATCAAAGGAGAAGGACTTCACCTCCAGGGTAATGGTTTTCCGTTAGGGTTTTCACGAAGAGAGACACAACGGGGAAAAACAAGAGGTATGGCATTTTGAATGGAAAGAACAGCGGTGGGCAACAGGATATTTTAAGCCAAACGACGTCGTTTTGGGAAGGATGGCGAGAGTGCAACACGTGGCAAAACAAAACTCCCTCTTTTATGTAGTTAGGATATTGAGGGTCTGTTTGACATGATTATTGCTTTTGCTGTTACTTCATATTGAAAAATTTCTTGAAGAAGTCACCTTAAATTTTTATTTCGAAACTAATTTCTAAAATACTTCCTATTTTAAAAGTGTTTTTAGTGCAAGTAGTGTTGAACAAACTTCATTTAAAACCTCTTCTATTTTCTTAAAATTAGTCAAACGGATCAAAAAGTAACTTTTGAATCTCAAAAACTCATTTTTATTTATCAAAAGTAAAGCCAAATAACCCCGATTCTCATATTCATATATCTAGTGCCTGTTTGATAAATTTTAATTTAAATCAAAGTCAACAATTAATTTTAATTATATATTTCATATGATCCATAACTTTTTGACCACAAATTTTACCATTTTTTATCATAATTTACTAAACATCTGATTTTAATCCTACCAAATGAGGACTTAATTAATTTTATAATTTCGAAGCCACATAGAACTATGATCATAAGTTAAATAGCATCATTCTTTTTTTATTTTCAAAATAATTAAAAAAGGAATACCATCCATTCATTCCATGCATGGCAGCCCATATATTTCAAAAATACATTTTTCTCCATCTTATTTTTAATCACATATTTTTAATAAAATAACATTACACATAAACTCAAATTTTTTTCTTATTTTTTAAACACGCATTATCTATCAATATACTATTTTAAAAAATAATTTTTTTAATCAAAAAATGGACCCAAACATACACATTCTTTCCATAAATAAGTTCACTCTCATTCCAATAAAAATATAGAAAATTCTACTTGTACATCAACTTTTGTACATAAGGGGCTATACCCTCCTCACATGGGGGTGTGACCCATTGCATGAAATAATTTTTTATTTAAGCGGGCCCCACCCCATGTGAGGGGGGTGTACACCCCGATGTATATTGTGACGTACAAGTAACGAAGTCCTAAAAATATGAATAAAGCTACATGTACATAATGATTGACCCGTTTGGTAGGGATTAAAATTAGATTAAAATTGAAAAAATAGTCGTTTTCATTGACTTTTATTAGACGAGTGGGACCCAATAACGATCATATTTTCAATTTTAATTGGATTTTAATCCCTACCGAACGGGACCGATGTATATAACCATTTACACCCCCCTCCATATGAAGGGGGGTGTAAATGATTATGTACACCATGAGGTATGTATGTGACCTAATTCTAAAAATATATACTCCATCTCAGCCGTACGTCAATATTTCCAATCAGATCAGAAAATTTCTACACTGAATCCTAACCGTCTATATCAAATTCCCCACTGTTTTGTAAAACTCTTTCTTTTGGCTTCAGAAACCCTATCTCTGCAGAGATTGAGAGAGAGATATAAAGAAAGAGGGAGTTATAGAGGAACAACAATGGCGGCAACAGTGAACGCGTGGGCGAAACCGGGTGCGTGGGCATTGGATGCCGAGGAGAATGAGTCCGAGTTCCTCCAGCAGCATAAGGAAGATTCCGTTAATGGCCATTCCAATGGCGGTGGCGACAAGGTGGAATTCCCTTCCCTCGCCGCCGCAGTTGCCACCAAGGCCAAGAAGAAGAAGCCCCAAACCCTATCCCTTCAGGAATTCAGTACTTATGGCACCGCCAAGCCGGCACCCGCCAAGGGTCTTACTCCCGAGGAAATGTTGGCTCTACCCACCGCCCCGCGTCAATGGTCAGCTGAGGAACTGGACCGGACCCGGCTGGGTGGCGGGTTTAGATCCTACGGCGCTTCCTATGACCGCCCCTCTAGGGTATCCTCTGATGAGAAGCCGCTTAGACAGGGAAGCTTTAACAGGGACTCAGATCGTGAATTCGCGCCTTCACGGGCAGATGAGACTGATAATTGGGCAGCGATGAAGAAACCAGTTGTTGGTAATGGTCTTGAGAAGAGGGAGAGAGGAGAGAGAGGTGGGTTCTTCTCGGATTCACAGTCCCGAGCTGATGAATCTGATAACTGGGCTCGAAATAAGGCTTTTGTGCCATCTGAGTCTCGGAAATATGAGAAAAGAGGGGGATTTGGATTAGAATCAAATGGTGGCGGAGCTGATTCAGATAATTGGTTAAAGAAAAAGGAAGTGGAGGGAAGGAAGATTGGTGGAGCATTTGATAGTTTGAGAGAGAGAAGAGGGGGTTTTGAGGATGCTGTGGATTCCGAGACTTGGGGGAGAAAAAGAGAGGAGAGTGGTGGTAGGCCAAGGTTGAACTTACAGCCTCGGACACTCCCAGTGGATGAGGGGCAGAAGAGCGACGCGAGTACAGTTAAGCCGAAGGGGAATAATCCATTTGGAGAGGCAAGGCCAAGAGAGGAAGTGTTGAAGGAGAAAGGTCAAGACTTGAAGGAAATTGATGATAAGCTTGAGTCTGTAAAGATTAATGATGTTTCTGCAGTGTCGAATGATCACCCAGCGACTTGGAAAAGGAGTTCTTCGAGTGGCAATGGGAGGGAGAGATCGCAGGAGTTCAAGACTGAAATGGCTTGGCGGAAGCCAGATTCTGTTGATTCTCGACCTCAAAGGTCAGTGAATTTAGGTTCTTAAAACCATACTAACTTTGAATGGTGATGTGAATAATGATTGAATTGCTTGATGTGTTATTAATCTGATTGAGGAGTCCAATTTTATTGTTGTGTGGAAAATATACTTGTAGAAAATTTTTACTGTCTTTGGTTTTAGATAAGCCAACCTCAATTTTTTGGAAACAAGACTTGGTTTGTTATAGTTGTCTGGTTTCACGTGTCTATATTTTTGCATCTTAATTATTCCATGGCTTTTAAGGCTTAGTTTGAAATTATTTTTCATAGGGCAGTCAAACTGATCGTGAGGACATGTAGAAAGGTGTTCTTTTCATAAAAAAGAGAAGATAAAAGATGTGGCAAGTTTCTTATTGAATATTGCCATGGAAAATTAGTTTGTTAAGTAGTGTAAATTCTCTAGTGCTTGATTAGAGATTGTGATCTCTGGGTTATTTTGGAATGTCGGTAGGCAATGTCTGTATATACTCTTTCCTGTCTTAACCTCTGGTTGAGTTAGTTACTTTATGACATCAAAGTTAAATGAGGTTTTCCATTGTAGTTCATCTTTTTTTTTTTTTTTGATAACCGTGGATGTTCGGGCCAGCTTACGCGCACCTCGACTAATTCCACGGGGCAAACAGAATACTTCATTTGAATATCACCCATGAGAAAATGTCATAATTACTTGAAACACTGGATGGTATGTGGTCTTCGTTAGGCTTGCATAGAGAGTAGTTTGAAAAATTAGTTTCTGGCTCATTTTGCACACGTATCTTCAGTTGTTGTCTATTTTTTGAATGAATTCTCTAGTCTTTGCACCAGAATATGACTGCACAATTGTTTTTCTTAACATGCACAAGAAACCTGTTTTTTTGTAATTGGAAGGCACTTTTATATGTTTCATCGTAAAACTTAGTCTTCGCTGCTACTGTTATTCTTTCTTATACATGAATTTTTTGTTAGCTGGTTATTGATTTGTTACTTGTGCTTATGTTACTCTTATTTGTTGTTTTCTTGAGCTTATTGGCACTACTATGGTCGAGTTAAACTTTTGGATGGATGCTGAATCAATTTGAACGAAAAGATGTATGAACTGCAAGGATATTATATTGTTATTTTGTTATTATGCCAAGACGTGACTTGTGGTTTTGGACTTTTTGACCTTGATAAGTGGAAATAATAGATAGCAACCGCAATTCTAATGTCCTCCCATAGGTCCCTTGACGTGATGTTCTGTTCCCGCTTTGTAGTTCTGCTCTTAATCCTTATCCTTCAAACTTTTTAGTCACCCCATCGTCCGATAGAAAAAATGAAAACTCCCAAAAAGAGGGAAAAATTAAGCAGTCATGATACTGCTTCCCTCCATCCCTCTCCAGTGGCGGGGGCGGCCTGTGAGCATGTTAATTTAGTTTGTATATTCTTAGAAGAAAAAAGGTTTGTCCGATCTTTAGGTGAAATTGAGGATTACGAAACTCGGTAGAATTCAGGACCTCACCTGTTGTGTGTTATAATATAATGATTTACATTCGATTCTTTTCTGATATGTTTTTTCATTGTACTTACTGTTAATCTTTGTTTTAGTGCTGAAAAAACTGAGAACGCACCTGCCGAAGATGGTGAAGATAAAGAACCCCAGATGTGAAATGAGATTTGATTGGAAGTGAAAAGTGGGAAACACGGCTGAAATTTTGATATGCTAGATTCATTCGATTTTTTCTGTTTCTGTGTCGTGCAGGAAAGAGGCAATT